ATTGAAAGTTAGAGAGAATAAAAACAGTATAAAGAGTCCTCTTTGCTTAAAATTTTTGTCGAAGTACCCAACAAAACGCGGAAGCTTTAATTTTTCACCTATATATATATATATATGTATCATAGATTAGTCCTCGTACATTTGCCCTCAAAACTACTAAAAAATGATATATACCGGACAACTCCTCGAGGGTACGTGTGTTTTATGCTCATTACTCCCACGCCTGTGAAATAGCAAAAAAAATGGCTGAAGCGTTGTACGTCAACGTTTCAGGGCTTCTTGCTCATTTTCAGAAAGTTTTTGGAGCTATTGAAAATGTTGGGTTGGAAGCGGTAGGAGTTATGAATTGTTGCATATCTTGTATTAGTGAAAGATCTTTCATTATTGAGAAGCTGCTGATTCCTGTACTACGACGTACCTGTCAGACATAATAATCAGATATAAATATAGGAATTTACGATATATCGTGACATACCTATACCCTATTTGTAGTCCATTTACGCCCCGGCACAACAAAGATGCAGCGCGGCAAAGCGGCAGCTGCCTAAGCGTTGCAATAGCTATTGGTCATTCGGCCATAGAACTACAAAGGAGTGCAGGATTCGCCAGGATAGAACTCAGGCTCGAGGTATCGCCAGCAGGCCGACGCCGGTAGTTGCTGTTCATATTCGGTGCATACATAGCTTGTGTTTATACGTTAGCATATCTCTAACAATGCCTTCTTCAGCCAAGCTTCCTCTTCAGTGATGTCTCCTCCTAGAAAACGTGACCAGAAAGGACATTTGAATATTCAGGCAAAAGATATTGTCCTTAACGTTTATAACAGCGACATTTTAGAGCATCTTGAAATGATATTGAAGGACTTGTGGCAAAACAGGCTTGTCCTAAGACAATTTTTAACATTGTTTAAGAATATAAAAAAAACAAAAAAATTGTCTCCACCATACAACACCACATTACACGAAGCTGTTGGATACTGTTGCTAACTTTGATCGGTATGCCATCAGGCGCAAATCAATTTTTTGAAAGGCAGGAACTTCCACCATAGACAAAGTATGGCAGGAGGTTAATAATGATGAAGACTTAAGACTTACCTACTTTCATTCTATAGAACTTCATTTTGGGTTCAGAAAACGGGGCAGAAATAGTGCTTTGATGGACAGCCAAGAGATTATTTTATGGAGAAGAAATTATCTAAAATCCTTAAAGAAATACTGCGGCTAGGGCAGGAAGATTTATTACTTGGATGAAAGCTGGATAGATGCAGGACATAAGTATGAGCTGTCTGTACAACTACGTCAGCAAGACAAGCCTTCCCAGATGGACTAACCACTGGCCTAAATAATCCGTCAGGTACGTATATCTAACCAATTTGTGTTGTAAAAATGGTGCCAAGTAGACTGAATCTATGAGCACTCGCTGAAAACTTAGCTACACTAAACTGAGTCATATCTAGTAGATTTGGAACCAACACCTGTTAGATACTCTGCTAGGATTAATATTAGTTTTCTTGAATACTATATGACATAATTATTTCCAGGAAAAGGAAAACGATTTGTATCTGTTACAATGGCAGTGAAGATAGCCGTGTGCCCACTGCCCTATGAGCATTTGGGTCAAAGGAAACGACCAACTACCATGAAGAAATGGACGGGAATTCATTGGAACGATGGTTTGAAAAAACGCTCCCAAAGCTTGACGACAAATCCGTCATTGTACCTACCTCATAATGCTGCATACCACACTAGAAAACTAGAAAAAATTCTCACAATATCCAAAAGGAAGGCAGAACTTCAACAATGGCTCCAATCAAAAGTTATTAGTCTCAATGAAAATATGGTCAAAGCTTGTCCATCTACTCAGGCAGCACAAATATAAATATAATTTTAATGTTATTGACGAAATGGTTAAAAACCAAAATAACAGCGTTTTATTACCCCCTTATCACTAATCCAAATTTTCTGACGTGAAAAGTTTGTTTTATGAAGCTGTCAACAAAGTGACGGCAAACCATTGGAAAGGTTGCATCCGGCACATTCAAGAGACAATCGAAACAAAGATGTGGGGTCTGGACAATACGATCGATATTCAAATTGAACCTGTAATAATTAATATTAACCATTCGGAGGATGGTTCAAGTACTTCCAGCGAATAAAGAATCGTAAAGAGTATGTGAATTTCTTTCTGTAGAAATAATCATTTATTTTGTTAGATTACTCTAAGACCATTGAGGAAAATACGGACCTCTACAATCTCGCTTTTGGGCATCTTGTGTTTTGTCTGGGTGTAAATGGACTACGAATGCGGTATAGTCTAGGTGCGACTACGTCATTACTTTGAAATTAGCAAATTTTAAATGAAGGCGCGGCAAGTATATCTACTTGACGTCATATCTTATGTTTGTTAAACTGACACAGGTTTGTTCTTTAAAGCAAACTTTGTACAGCTCTTCATCCAATTCCGTAGCTTACATGACACCGCGACTGCTGAGACTTATCTCATTATAAGACTCTCAGTTCTAACTCACGGCTAGAATACGCTTAAGAACAAAGTTAGCATATGTATGATATAATAATGATATAAGCGTAAGACTGGTTAACTCGGATAATCGCTGTATCCGAGAACGTAACGAGGTAGTTTAAGGATTATATTCTCACACTGAATGATCTACTTTATAGCACGTAAATGAGCTTATCGATAAGTACTTCGGGATATTGTTTTCAAATCAAACGAACAATTTTGGATAAATATTTGCTCATGTGCGAAAAATCAAGGCCTTGGACATTATGCTATGAGACTTGGAACATTAAATAAAGCTAATCCCCGTGCTTTTCTGGCCGATGAAACCATATGTATTGACAGAATCTTCTTTACCCTAAACGTTTGAATCACAAATATATTTCATTTATCTGTCTTCCAGGTGACAGCTCGTTTGTTTTTTCTTCTCATTATCACATTCTCATGCACGTTCTTTTACAGTATGCTACCACAATAGACTGAATGTCCGGAATATGCTAAGATTATGAATAATCATCATTCCAAGTTTTAAGATGACACGGAGCAAAGCCAGCATAGCCCAGGACCGTCTAAAAAAAAATACGTCCCGCCCTTCAAAGCCACAAGCGAGCATGCGGCTATCCGTCATTTTTAATGTACCAGAACGTCACCCTCGTCCATCGTCCCGAAAACGCCAAAAGCCGTCCAAAAAGAAACACGCAAAAGTCCACCTAGAACTGTTGTAACACACCGGCTAATTGTTATGGAATCCTTGACTAAAATGCTGCAAGTGCATTGCTTTGCATCTGAAATGCGAGCAATGCTACTTCGACATCTAAAGGGAAACATGTTGTTTCTCTTGTGAGAAAAGAATATAATACACAACGGTCTTGAGATGATAAAGCAGATCTGATATCCAATAACAAACCATGAGAAAGAACTCAAGATCCATCAGATTAGGTTGGAGAATATCAATTAGGTCATCATGGTCCTGTGTAGATGCCGTATTTATTTGTCGCGTTTCAAATTCAAAAAAATGCACTTGCAACATTTTACTCGAGGAATGTATAACAAGTAACCGGTGTTTCACAACAGTTACGGGCGGCTTCTTGCGTTCTTGGTCTGTTGGTGCATTCGGGGCGCTGGACGACGGTGACACGTCTGATAAATCAGAAGACGACAGTTGGACAGTTAGCCTCATGCCCGCTTGTCGTTTTGGAGGGCTGGACGTCCTTTTTGGGAACTGGACCACCTACCCCAGGCGTATCTGGGCTATGCTGGTTTGGCGTGGTGCCACCTTAGAATTCAAAATTCAAGCAATCTCACGTGACTTTCAGACTACTGTAGTAAGACATTGTATATCACTGTCTAGCTATGTGATAATGAGAGGAAAAGACAAAAGAACTATCACCTGAAAGACAGATAAACAAAATATATTATCATAGTACTTAAGATCACCTTTTAGAATGTTTACAGTAAAGAAGATTATGTCAACACATGTGGTGTTAGTGGGCAAAAAGCAGGAGAGTTATCGACATGTAGACCACATAATATGATTCAGAGCATAGTTAATAAAATGTTTTGGTAGACCCTATGGCCTCGGACAGTTCATAGCTCCAACTTTGTTCTTTGAGCCATTTTTGTCCACAGAGCCCATCAAATGATTCATCATCCAGATCAAATAATTAAAACAAAGATATATCAAGTAGCTTTCGTGTTACTCTTGATAGGAGACGTGTTAGTTTTAATCACCTTTTTAATATGTATTATCCAGTTAAGTGATTTTAAATGAGATGGATTGAAAGACGCTAGCATTTGCTGAATCATCGATTGCCTTTCAGAAGGCATTTGATACGCATTTTTGTTTGACAGCGATGAGAATAGTAGCCGTCTTCTGTGAATGGTCATAGAACCTTATAGAGAACGACTTTTCATCCTTGGCCTTCCTATCTTACTTATTCAAAGCGATCAGTTGAATGTTATTAATTTTTTTGGTATATCGACCTGTCGACTGTAATAAAATCAACATCTATTCTATACAAGGTGTTAAGAAAGTACGTGGTCAAACTTCAAGGGATGATTTCTTGGACGGCCCCTGCCTAATATGTTTATATGAACATATCATACAAGAAGGTCGATAACACCCTTTTATGGGGTGATAATTTTAAAACATATTAAGCCACAAAGCAGAAAATCGAACCGTTTTTGAGTTAGGCGCATTTTTGTGAATTCCTAGAAAAAAGAAATGCGTCAAGTCTTTGCCAATTCAATAATGTGGAGGAACTCTGCTGTTCTCCCTTATTTTTTATCATTCATCATAATGTAGGGCCTACGAGGGATGTCTTTTAAGTTTTGCATATAGAAACATAGTAGGCCGCGCGGATCGAACGTCAGTACTGAATCTTAACCCCACTCTTTAGTAAACCTAAATTCAAAGTTTCACAACAAAACGTCCAGTGTTCTCACTACAGTGAATTTTTTAGTATCACCAAGTCATTAGAAAAATGGAACTCAACCGAGAACATTTTCGCGCCATAATTTATTACAACTTTCAGAGACAATTATCGCAACAAGAATGCCGTGCTGAGTTACTGTATGTCTTCGGCAACGAAGCACCACATCAGTCGACAATTTCCCGTTGGTATGGAGAATTCAAATGTGGACGGGTGAGTCTTAGCGACGATCCCAGGGTGGGTGTACCAAAAACAGCAGTCACCCAGGAAAACGTCGATGCTGTGCGCAAACTCATCATTGAAGATAGACATGTGATATATGGCGAGACTGAGGCGTCCTTGAAGATCTCAAAGACCTCAATTCATCAATTCAAAAAATTTTAGATGAAGAATTAGGAGTTGGATACCCCACCTGTTGACTGAAGAGCAGAAAGCAGCCAGTGTTAATTGGTGTCAAAAAACGCTTGACCGTTTCAATTCCGGAAACTCAAAAAATGTGTATAGCATTGTTAGTGGTGACGAATCGTGGATTTACTGTTATAAAGCAGCAAATAAACGACAGTCGGCTGTTTGGGTGTTCCAAGCTAAAGAAAAGCCAACAAAAGTCATCCGTTCTCGAAGTGTTTCGAAAAAGATGGTCACGACATTTGTGTCAAAAGCGGGTCATATTGCAACAATTCCTCTTGATGAGCAAAGAACTGTAACTGCGGATTGGTATACCACCATTTGTTTGCCGAAAATCATCACCGAGCTTCGAAAAATCAACCCCGAAAGAAGAATTATCCTCCACCAAGACAATGCAAGCTGGCACACAGCCCAAAAAACAAGCCAGTATTTAACGGAAGAAAACGTAGAATTATATATAGTCCCGATCTAAGTCCTAACGATTTCTTTACTTTCCCGAAAATTAACAACAGACTTTGTGGTCAAAGGTTCCAGTCGCCAGGAGAAGCAGTTGACGCATTCAAAAATACCGTTTTGGATCTGCCAGCAAACAAGTGGAATAAGTGCTTCGAAAATTGGTTCAAGCGCATGCAGATGTGTATATCTTCATGGAGAATACTTCGAAAAACAATAAAGTATTAAGATTTCGGAAAATGTAAGAGTATTTATGTAATTAGCAAATAGCCACTTAAAAAGTTTCGAAATTCAAAGAACACACGGAGAGAGGCGGAAAAAACGATTCTTTTCCTACCTTTATACACATACAATATTGCCACTTTTCCTCCTATACATTATGGCATAACTAGAATTTCCATATGACGCTTTGTCTCTTGTCCTCCAGCATCAACTTTATTTTTTCCTATGGATACCATAATGGATTTTTGTTCATATGAATAGAAATACATGGATATTAGACAGCCTTACTTATTTCCAAAAAAAAGCAGAATTTCCTGGGTAGGTCTTGAAATTATCAGTTAGTCATTTGTTTCGTATACCAAATTTATCCCAAAATCGCTTTTATTTTTTCCTGACCTCATTTGAAATGGGGTTTCAAAATAAGTTGCATGTTGTCATTGTTACTTATTTTCCATTACAAAATGGTGTTGTAAAATATTCAATTTGCCATTCCTTCCTTCGACTTCCTTCATCAACTCAATTTTTCCATATAGAAGCTATATTCGAATTGTGTACATTTAAATGGAATTTTAAATACTCTTACCACGTATCCAAAATGTCTTGTTGAATCATTTACAAAAATATGATCTATGCATGTTGCTGATTTTTTTAGATACACCGGTATATTCAATAATATAGGATGTGTAACCAGATTTCTGAATTATATCTAGAAATATGGTTCTGTCTTTTGATGATATTGAATAAATATTAAACGTGTGAAATTTGCCTTGAGGAGCATATTATACAACTAAAAGTTCATATTTGTTTTGTGACACTTGCCATGAACAGTTACCGTTCCACAATAATATATTTTATGAAGGGAATGAGATTAAGCTTAAATAGTGCATTTGTAGATATAAGCTAGCTTCTTCCGGTGCCTCTTCTTCTATAATGTATTGGTTTAAGATCTGCCGTTAGCGAGGAGTTCAGTGATGACCTCAAGGCCTTCTATCTTGATTGTTTGCAAAATACCTTCTAGCACCATTATTTCTCAATTCGCTCGATGTGCAGGCAAACTAGCAAAGGCGTTCAGATTAAAATAAAAAACACACACGTACATGTACAGACGAACACATATCCTGTCCCGATAGGGACCGAGTCGGTTGTAAATAAAGACGGTCCCAGCGCGCCATACCGATCGGTAATCCGATATGTTGACACCTATCCCGACACCTTACACAAAAGTTCGGCGTTAATCAGGGCCGAAGATACAAAGGGCTATTCACATTCAAATGCGCGCTGGTTCAATGGTGCGACGACAAGAGATAGCCAGGGCTGGACTTGGACCTTAGTCAATGCTTCATCCCACAAGATTTATTTCCATCCATCTTGAACAGTGCTTAGTAATACCTTTCCACAAAAAGGTGGACAGACATGTAATTTCGTATCACCTAGGTATATTGTTGCTTTTACCCTTTTCCAAATTATACGAAAATGCGTACTGTTTTCGCCTCAACAAATTTATTAACCAGTTAAATTCTATCAATAGCAATCAATTTGGTTACCTTCAAGAGCTTACGATGGATTCATCAATTTTAGTGTTTGGTGAAATTATACAATATCTTAAGCGCGCCTTTGATACAGTTGTTCATCATGGCATTTTTTTGGATCAACACTAAATCTCGATCTCTTGTTTCACCACCAATCAAAATCAGGGCAGTACTTTGGGCCCTACTCTACTTATTCTGTATATTAACGACATATTCTCGAATTGTTGTAAGACGAAGGTAACGTTACTGGCAGATCACATGACACTAACACTAATATCTAATAGTATCTCAAATTTATGCCAAACAGCTTCTGAGGTGTGTAGTAAAATGTTATCTTACTATTGTGCAAACGGCAATGCCCTGAATAGCAGCAAAACAAATTTGGTGCTATTCACGCATAAGAACGGTAGAAGTATTTTAGTGAGATGTGACGGTCACGTGTAAGGTAAACGACTTTGTCAAGCTCCTTGGTATACATTTAAATGAGAATGTATCATGGAAGGAGCATATCGACGAAGTGTTGAGCAAACTATCCACGCACTGCTATGTGTATTATGGCCGCCTCGCAATTACTTTGATGTGCCACTGCTTGAGATATCATTTTGCGTACGTACTATGGACTCATCTGTTGGGGCAACAGTTGTAAGGTAAAGAAGGTATTTGTTCTCCAAAAGAACATAATAAAAACAATTTTGTTTGATAACAGACTTTCATCCTGCGTGAATATGTTGTTTTGTTTAGGTAAGTGATCCTTATTGGTTTCCTTCTATTATAATTTGTGTTTGAATGTGAATATACCATTTTTAGCTCATGATGACTGAAAATTCCAACACTATGTTGTAGAGTCTTATGGAAATAAAAACATTATTATTATATTAGAAACAGTAATGCGCATTCATTATTTTTAAAAGTCCTAAATAAGCGTTAGTGGCACCATCGCACCAGCCTAGGTATGACCGTTGACCTATCAGAAAAAGGGAAGTACTGAACGTCATCTATAATCAGATCTTAAAATGTGTGTGGCTCTATAGTTGTCAGCTATGGGGCTGATTCCAGAATTCAAACATCGAAATAATTCAAATATTCCAAAATGACGTACTGAGGAACATGGTAACTGCCCCTTCGTATGGTCGTAATAGAGACATTATCGCGATTTGAATACATCTCTGGTTATCGAGGTACGAGAAAAGGCTGCATCAACACCCTAATGTAGAAGCTCTTCAGCTGCTGGACAGCCACAATGAAATCCGATGGCTGTAGACGAGCAGTCCGTATGGATTTAAGTAGTGTTAGTTTCACGTTAAGACCAAATTGATCAGCTTTAGTATTCGGACCTCAAAGCTACTCTAAAATTAAGAAAAGTTCAATCACTTTAGACGATTCACTTTTCGAACTGTTCTTTATCAACCACTTAGATACACAGTAGTGTATTGAGTAAAAAATATATAAATAGACCATATAATATAAATGAAATGAATAACATATACAACAATATAACAATACCTATAAATGTTCAATTCCATCTTTACAAACTGAAGGTTGCACATTCCATATACTACTTTTTGGAATGCGATCTTGCTACTCTAGTACTCAACCAATTTTCTTTCTGTCACATCTCAAACTACAGACTATCTTGGCATTCTACAACCAACAAAGTATTCTTGGGGACTGACTTGCAGCATGGTCGTTGAGTCATTCATCCATGTTGTGGTATGTGTATGGATGGATTTCAAATTTGATTTCTAGAGTATTTATGATGAGCATTAATATTTGGGAATAGTCTATCATATTTATCAATGTAAGTTACCCTGTTCAAAACCTAAATACAATGCTGCAGTCAAGCGGCTTCATTCCAAAACTTAATCCAAAGATTCTTTTTTGGGCAACAAATACTCTATCAATTTCGGGAGATATAAGCCAGCGCATAATATACATTCACAAGAGTTTTTTCATTTAGGACACCTTTAAGTTGTAGAATGACAAAATATGTTTTGTTTAATTCTTTACATGATTTAGTCGACAATCAAAATATGAACCAAGAATCCGATGAAATAAGATTATAAATGTTCAGGTCAATTGGACGTTGGATGTTAAAATTTATACCAACAGTTTTATCATAGTTTTAAATTACTAGATTTCTTCGATTTTTTTGACATCAGGCAGAGAATATAGTATTTGTATAATAGTTATAGTGGTATTTTTTGCAAACATGGATATCCAACAGAATATCAGATGTGTAACGCACTACTAGACTTTCTGTAAAATCGAAAATGGTATACAGAGTGTTCAAAAAGTCCAGGTACGGCCAATAATCTTGGCTTTTATGGTCATTTAAATGCAAAACTTTATTTTTTGACATAGGACCCTATATTTAGAATACAGGATGTGGATAGAACGGAAAACTTCACACGTTTTTATCTTCTAAAAAATGACTTTTGAATGTCATGCTCGAGGTCTAATGTCGACATATTCATCTCGAAAGCCATGCGTCGAAAAATTATGATTCTTCCCGGTGATCTCTCACGAGAACCTGAATGTCATTTTTAGAACATGATTATATTTTTTGTCACTGGAAAAAAAATGGATCGTTGTCTGGCAGTGATCTTCAATCCAACGTTGATGTTGATCTTCAACGCTGTTTCAGAGTCAAGTCCATTTTTAAATGAAAGATAATTTTATCTGAAAAATTACCTTGATGAGGTCGTCCACGACCTTCACAGGCCAATTTCCAGGTCACCGTGAGATAGCCGGGTGAAAAGCCTGGGTAGGATTTATTTTAGACTGTTTTTCGAGATTATTTGCCGTATTTCCTACAATGCACTGTATAAAGGACAGTATGACAATTTGTAGCCCTTGGTGAAAATATTCGCTTCAAAGATATTCTTTATGCCGAAGTTGTCGCGTGGGCAGAGGCGTAAATACGGGGGTACTGCTGCTGCCATGAGGAGCATGAAAACACTCTGTTAATCCAATTTTTTAACCGCCTAATATCATTAGAACTGGACAAAGCTTCCTCGTACATATTGTTCTACAATCTCGATAACCTAGGGACAAAAGCGCGACACGGTTAGGGTGGGAGGCCGAACACAGCATAATATATCCAGATCGCCATCGGTGCGAAAGGTTCCTGTCGTTAGAGAGCAGTCATCGGTCAGTTGGACAGCCTTCCTTTGAATACATTAGCACGGATAATGTAGTCGGAACGGAGGCACCCCAGACATGTGAGCTGAGCTCGAGGCTAGGTCTTATCTGGGCCTTGTACACAAATAGCCCAGCATCTGCCGCAATTGACAAGATGTGTTCATGCTAGATCAAGTCGTCGGTGATCTCGACTCCCACCAGTCGGAGTGAATGGCACTTTGGTAGAATTTGGCCATCGATTAAAACTTGATGAGTGCTAGCGCGCTTCTCTTCAGTATTGTGTTACTGTA